GCGGTCGTGTTCTTCGGTGAAGCGGCTGTCGAGGTCCACTGATCCGACGAGCTCCTTCTGTTCGATCTTAGGCGTCGCGGCGGGGGCTGCCTTTTTAGTCGCTGGGGCGATGGTGCTCAGACCTTTTAGCGCGGCCTCAAAGCATCGTTGGGCAGCGTCTATGTCTCCATTCAGGGTCACCACGGCTCCGCACCTTGTATAGTATTTCATTTTTAGGTGGAGGGTACCGCAGTGAGTTCTGTCATCGTCGTTCTGCCTAGGATACAGTTGTAGAGGGATGGGCACTTGATGACCAGGAAGTGGATATTGATCTCCCTGGCAATTTCGTCCTCCTCGAATGTGACTTTTAGCTCTACGTACCCCCACGGTCTTGTCGTTGTCCCGTTGAACCCTTGGAGGTCAAAGCCCACGTAGAGGGATAGGTTGGATTCGTCGAGTTGGAGGATCGTGAAGAGGTGGGTGTACATGATGTCCACCGAGCTGCCTCCGTCGACAAGGATGCGTCTGACATCGAAGTTCGCCATCCGCGCCCGTATTAGCAGGGGAATGTTGGAGTTAGGGGAGCCCCTGAGAAGTTCCTCGAGGTAAAAGGTGATCGGATTGGACCGACCGTGAAATTTTTCGAGGGTGTTCATCTTACCGGAGTTGCTCGTGATAAGTTCTTCGAACTTTCTTTTCACCGATCCTACAGACAGGTTCCTCGTGGAGCCACCAGAGATGACCATGGCTCTTGGGAAGTATTCCCATCGACTGGTGGGGCGTACCGGTTCGTCGGGCATTTCAGGGCCGTCGGGGAGGCCGAATTCTCTATGAGTGAACCAATCCTCAGGGCGGCTGACGCATAGGGCGACCTGGAGGCCGTTGTCGCCGTCTGAAGAGGGGAGCTCTTCGACTTTCTTGGCCTCGGGAGCTTCTTGCCTCGGGGTTTCTCCCCCCTCCGGGTGTATCTCTTCAGGTGGCCGTCCTTAATCAGGATTTTGATCGCGTCCTTTAGATGGATGCAGTCTTCCGTTACATGCCCGTGGCTCCTGTGGAAACGGCAGTACTTCAATTTGTCCACGTTAGGCTTGGGTGGTGTCGGTCTGGGAAAGCGGACACCTCCCTGGAAAAATTCAGTTTTGGCGCATTCGGCCAGTATGCGTTCGCGGGAAGCGACTAGGGCCGTGTACTCCGTTAATCAGCCGGCGGGACCGCGCTGCTCGCATTGTTCGCAGGGACGATCCTCCCGTCGGCGATCGCTTCCGCGCCGATGGCTTGAAGCTCCGTCGTCTCGGTGCCCGCGGAGGGCTTCTCTGTCTCGCATGTCTCGGGCAGAGCTGGCTGCTTGGGTTTCCTCGAACCGGATGTAATGCGCGGCTCTATCGAGGAAGTCCTGTAAGGAGGATGGCCGATGTATGCCCACGGCCTCGTAGAATTTGGAGTCGCGGCGTAGGCCCTGCTCCATTAGGTAACGCTTCATCTCGTCTGACGTCGTCACCTGCACCGCCTTCCGTGTGAATCTTTCGATATACTTTCGGAGAGGCTCGTCGGGAGCTTGGATTATAGCTCTGAGAGCGGCTTCCGTCTTCAGATGGCGTCAGGATGCTATGAAGTGTTTCGAAAACAGGTCCTTCAGAACCCTCCCCGACGTAATCGATTCGGGCTCCAGACTTTTGTACCACTTCATGGCACCCTTTCTTAGCGTCGTCGGGAACAGTCTGCATTTGATAGCTCCTCGGACATTTTGATAGTCGAGCATAGCCTCGATGTCCTCCAGGTGATCGTCAGGGTCGGAGGTGTCGTCGTACATTGAGAGCGTCGGGGGCTTCTCCATCCCGTGGGGAATAGGGGCGGCCATGATTTCTCGGGATAGAGGAGTCCTGTAGTCGTCTTCGTTGCTGAGAGTGGGTGACCGAGGGGGAGATGAGCCTTTTGGCGGAGGCACCTGGTTTTGGCCCCTCGGCCTCCTAACCGGGGGTTCGACGCGCGAGGGCCTGGTCGGGGGCTCTGCTCTGTTTTGCCGCCTCTCACGAACTTGTCTCGTTGGGGATCTGATCCGCTTCCGTACTACTTCGGTCTGGGGCCTCTCCAGCCGGGGTCGTCGCTCTCTGGGACGAGGCGAAGGGCTCCTCGAGTTTCCATTCTGGTCTTCCCGCGTGGGGGGGGGGGGGGGGGGACCTTGGCGGGACCTCGCGCTCTAGTGCGCCAATCCGTGCGTTCTGTTGGAACAGCAGCTGGTTCGTCTCGTTGATGGCCGCAAAGAGGGCGGCCACCGTTGGGTCCGCTCCAGTTGGGACGGGAACAGGTTGGAACGCTGCTGGGCTTTGGGGTCGGTGGACAGCCGGGTGTATTGGTTCCGCGGACGATGGAGATGCAGTCTGGCCGTCTCTCTCGTCGGTCTCCGCTGGGCGGGGTGTCTCCGTTGGCTTGCCGCCATTCGCGGCAGAGTTGAGAATGAAGTCGTGAACGGTATCGTCGCGGTGTGGGCTAGCCGTGATCATAGAGTGTTGGTGAAACTTTGGTTTTCTGCTCGGAGTAACGGGGAAGTTTCTGTTCCCACAGACGGTGCCACTGATCTGACCTTATCAGAAGGGGATCACTAGCTGGCCACACTCTGTTGGACTGCTGCCTGTTCACCGGTGATGAGGAGGAGAAGGGGGGTGTACCTGCAAGACGCTCCGATGGCAAAGTAAGGAATTGGGCAGAGTGAGAGCAAATACAGAAATGGGGTAAGAAGTGAAATTACCTTACCCTCTTGTGGAAGAGGGTATTTATAGAGAGACCCCAGCGCTGGGTCAATGGTCGCTTGTGTTGGGCTGGTTGCCAGGCCCAACCCAGGCGACTGCTAGGGCTTATGTGGCGTAGTGAAGACCAGGACGTGGTCTTCGCCTTAGTTCAACTGCTCCGTGAACTCCGGAAAGTGGGTTGACCTGCTCTTTTGGAGGTGGGCAGTTGCGGATGACGTGTCCCCGCAGAGGGGAGCATGTGGAGAACGTGTGGAGGGCACGTTGTCTTGTCCGACGAGGTGCGGGTTCTGCCCGCGGGGGGCAGGCCTTGCCCGCGGAGGGCGGTGTTTGGTCGAGATGGGAGTTTCCTGCCCGACATGGTTGGGGCAGGTCCTCCTCGCGGGGAGCCCATTTCTGCCCGTCGGGGACCCTGTGCTCGACGTTGTGGCCCAAACTGGTCTGGGCTTGGTGGAATATTATTGGACTGAGCCCGCGTGGCTAGGCTGGGATCCAGGCCAGAACATTTATATTGCTATATTTCTGAGTTTTTAGTGCAAACGATTGTGTCAATCAAATTTTGATTTGAGTTGTGCTGAACTACTTTTAAGCTAACTACAATTATTGATTGTAATAAAAAACTTGAGCGCTCAACTCTCAAAATAGAATTCACTTATAGTGTTCTGCACTCCAAGTGTTTGATCAATTGTGTGAACTAAAAATATTTTGTGTTGTCTTTTCAAATTGTCTATATTTAAAGACATTGAAACTAGTCACACCTTATAGTGAACAAAATCTAATTGAAGTGTGATTAAAGTGGTGATTCTCATATCTCGTTTATTAAATTCCATAGGCTTTACGCATATCCGGTTTTCTAGTAACCGTTCGTTTTAGATGTGTATAGTTCCTCGGCCGCTTCCGCCTTAAACAATTTTAAAAACCAATTTTTGGTAGCGTCGACTCTGTTTTAAATAAGCGATCTATTCGACCCCCCTTCTAGATCTGCGCCATCGTCTAACACGTTTTTTCAAAAGTAAATATTTCTTGTGCATTTTGACATTCTTTTATTTTCGCTAAAGTATTACTTGTGTTTTGTATGTATTAATTAGTAACTATATGAAAATTATTTGTAGTCACGAAAACAACCCGAGAACTTTTCGCGTGGATTAAATATTGTCCAAAGATATTATCAATACATGGCTTAAGGTATTAACTTTATCCATTTACATATAATTTATTTATATTTTGTTAAGTTAATGTTATTGTTGGTAGTTTATCATAATTTAAACAATAGACGACAATATAAATGACATTCGATCACGTTGGATTGATGTCTTCCTATCTTATTATAAATCTCAACAACACCCGCTTTTCTTGATTGTTGTAATCATTTTATAGAAGTTTTGTCATTGTATGTTCAAATATGTATTGGTTCAAATATGTACATATTCTCTTACTAGAAATTTTATGTATCTCAAATGTCATGGATTTTATAAGCTTTATATGGTTATGTTTAATATATATATATATATATATATATATATATATATATATATATATATATATATATATATATATATATATATATATATATATATATATATATATATATATATATATATATATATATATATATATATATATATATATATATATATATATATATATATATATATATATATATATATATATATATATATATATATATATATATATATATATATATATATATATAACGGAAAGATATGTGACGCACATTTTATAATTAAAAAAAGAACATGATGTTGTCGTAACACCTCGTGGCAAGACAAACTCACCCTCCTTCCTAAACGACAAGTTTGTTAATGCTGCTTTGAGTACTCTCTATGAACTTAACATGCTCTAACCTAAATATCTGAGGTCAATGGATGTTAAATCATTTTGTGCCATTACAGATATAACAATGTTTAAAGAAATAAAATGAGTTATAGCATTTAAATTTTGTGAACTTCTAATTTTTCTAAAATTAATTATTAAATATCCTATCCAAATGCATTATTGTATAGAAATTTGACTTTAAAAACTAAAACTGAAAAACAATTGAAATTTAATCATCAAATTTGAAGCAGTTAAAATAAACTAAGATCAATAGACAAATCTCAAGCACTAGAATAAATTGCATGGATGGTGCATGTACCTTACAGTCAAAGAATGAATAAAATAACAACAAAATATCTTGCATGCCAATATTAGTTTCAAAAGCAAAAAGAAAGAAAAAGAGATAAAGGAAAACAATTACAAGAAATGCAAGCTTAGAACCTAGAACTCAACATCACACTTGGTGGGTATAAGTCGAATAAAGGTAAATCCAGTTCCATTTTCGTTGCTCAAAGGTACAGTGAGGTCGCACTTGACCTTAGGTTTGTACTTTCTGGATATTGAATCTCCAAGTCTGAATCTAATGGTAAAGTAGAGCTTCACGTAGATATTATAAACTCCAATATTCTTATCTTTGTTGAACTCAGAGACTTGATCAATATCGAGCATCAACAGCTTTTGTCCTGCGAAAACTCCACTCATGGGGTCACTGCTCTTCTTGTATTGGCGAAACGAGTTCATGTGTGTGATCATGTCAACATTAGCAAACCTCGACCCTTCGTAGAATGCTTGAGATTCAACTTTGTCATAGTAAATGCTGAGTTTTTTGTTTGGGTTGTGGGCTGTAAAGTTGAGCACCATGTTGTAGTGTAGTGTGTTGTTTGTGTAGTCGAATCGAGTTAGTTGGGCTTTTGTGACATAGAATTTGAAGGGACGCGGTTGAACAATGAGATAGAAGATAAGGATAACGAGACCGAAGAGGACAATAAGTGCAACTAGAAGTTTCCATAAAAAGCTAAAGAGCGTGCAACAACCGCTACCGCCACGGATGCGGCGGTTGCTTGATTGCCCTCGTGCAGCTGGAATTGCAGGTCCATAGTAAGAATCGTTCAACTGAGGTTGGTTATTTGACATACTAGTGAATGAGTGAACGTGACTAGAAAAGTTTCTTTTGTTTGCAAAGGTGTGTGGCAGAGAAATTAAGGAAGAGAGGAAATATTGTTGTGAATAATGAGATGAGGAAGTGCGTATATATAGAATGGAGATAAATTGGTGAATCTATGTATTGCATGCATAAGAACAACGCGTTATGAATTAATAATTGAATAAAAATGCGGTCGGCTAAGGAAAATATCAATAGCGGATTGAGGATAGTCCTAAACAAATCCAATGTGGATTTGGTGTACAACTTGGTGGGTTAGTAGTTAGTATCATTTTTAAATATGTGTAGTGTAGCCTCCTCTTCGTTAATGACTGCTGCTAAGATAATTAATCCTCTACTTCGACATTTGATCTTGTCAAAACATAGGTAATCATTTTACCATATATGTTTTATGCATAACTATAACAAACGGAATATATATACTTTTTGTAATTATATTAAGAATTTACCACACAACATGATAACCGATAGAATTACTCATGTAAATATTTATTAATTATAATTTTTTTTTGTCAAAGCATTACTTTTTCATTACCAAAAAGAGTTTGTTACAACCGATCCAAAGGATTTTGGTGATAATAATTTAAGACACCTATCTTACGGTTCAGGATTGTCGTTAAAGACATGTAATACTAACTACTGCACATGACTTCAACTGTGTTATAGTTAATTTGTGGTTAAATAAGGTCTCATAAAATATTGATAATAGTTAAATAGTAGTTAGATAGGGCCATTATTTGTTTTTCCATGACTAATCTTATAGATTTAATTGAATTTAGACAGATACAAATCATAGCATATTATTATTATTATGTTGTAGAGTAATCAAGAATAATTAGAACGGTCTATTATTATTAAACACTTAAATAATTGAACGGCGGAGGGTAGAGACTTCTCATTGGCCTTAATTGAATGGTTCAACCCGTCACGATACATTCAGTCACAAAACTCAATCAAATAATTCATCAATAATTAGTGTTTAATAATAAAAGATCATAATATAGTTAATTAATAATTAATTATGTCAATCCATATTTAATCAATTAAATAGTTAATCTAACAATCAGCTAATTGGATGACAATAATTAATTATTAAAAATATTAATTTTAATATTATAATATCAATAATGGTGAAAACACGAATCAATTAAAAAGAAATAAATTTCAACGTTGCAAAAATGGTATCCGATAGGGAAGACAAATCATGCATGTTAAAACTTACAACTTTATATAAAGAATGATGAATTTAGAATAACATATTTAAGTTAAGAGTAACATGTTATAAAGAATGACCCAAACATATGAAAATACTATTCATAAACTCCCACTAACGCAAAGTATCATAAGATTTATTCATGTGTATAAGTTTATGGTAAGTGATTATACTAATAAGTTTTAAGTTATAGGTCATAAAATATCCACATAGATCTAACAAATAATTATATATAGGCATGTCCTATTAAGAGAGTAGTTACAATTAATCATAAGTACTTTCATAACACAATATTAGATATTTACTTGTACTTTTATATTATGACCTAACAAATGTGGATTATTGAAGATAAAATAACACAATATTATTACATACTAAAAAATTAATGTGTCTTTTCAATATCGACCTAAACATCAAATTATGATTTTTCCTGAGATTAAGATAATAATATATATCTCAGTATAACAGAATAAGACTACTTATAATTATTTCATATTTTGAAGTCCTTTTAGAATATGTCATATTTACAGTGCACGCAAGAATATATGACACTATGAGATTAATAATCTAAACTTTTTTAGATTATATGATTATGTACACATGCACTCCCACTGATCCAATAGGATAAATATTTATCAGAGCTCACTAATATCAAATACTCTGATTGAACAATAAGATATTATTTAAAACAAAACTATATAGAGAAGTGATTGTATAATATAAAATCATTTCCGCCACATATTTTGCACGTAAATGAAATATATCATTATTTAGGTAATTTCACATGATAGAGTATGATGGTCATATAAAAGATTTACCATCAGCGGAGTAAGATCAAATTCATAATATATGATTATACATAACATCTTAATAACTCACTCAAAACTCAAATGCTACAAATATAACTACACACATTTGAGAAACATATTATGTTATACGCAGCGGAAAAGTATGAGACGTTAAATTTAACTATTATTGAGGATATAATATAAATAATCATAAACTTTATTACTAACATAAGAATATAACATTCTCAACATAAGTCTCTATAAAGTGATAAATAAATAATATTTGTTTCTCAAATTTATACAATTGACATGTTAAATTCTTCCACTTGATTGAGAATAATAGTTGAACTAAGATTAAATGTTTTGAAAAAACTTTAAACAAATATTCAACTATTTTCTCTATCACACAATAATCATGTCAAGTAAAGTCACACCGATAGGATATGTCCATCACTTATATAATATAAAGAGAATTGAAATCTTTTTTTTAATTGAATAACAATTATTAGATTTAATAAAATATTACATGTCCTTAAAATAATTTCTTATTTATTTATTGTTATCTTAAATAATAATATCAACAAAGTTTAATAAGAAATATATAATGTACAAATATCATGTGACAAAATTCAAATACTGATAAGATACTCGAATCATAATTTGCATAATTTTAAATCACAAGTATATTAAACAAAACAAATTATATTAATAATAATATACCGATGGGGTATAACTATTATCAATATAATATTTATTATAATTACAAAAAATTTAATTATTTTACTAAGCAAAATTTGTACAACTATACTCACTATAGGCGAGTTACTATCATACAAATTAACAATAATTATATTTTATTTAAAATAAAAAAATTTGTATAATTATATTTACGATAGATGAGATTACAATTTTACAAATTGATAATGATTACTTAATTATCCAGAATAAAACTCTAATAACAAGATTTCTAATATATACTCATAAAAACTAAATTTATATAGAAATCAATTTATAAAAATAAATAGATTTTGATTTTGAAATATTCTTAAAAATAATATTTTTTATATAAATGCACATTTTATAATTTTAAATAGTTGATAATATTAGAAACAAATTTCTCTTTATATGCAATTATATAATAAGTTAGAAGCGATTGAAAAATAAATAATCAAATTATGACCCATTTCAAAGAGTTTGATTTACATCCTAGGATTCAAATATTTTTGCGAGAATACCTCTTCGTATCTATTTCTTCATAATTCGTAAATTGTTTCGGTAGCAACTACTTTCAAAATTTGACTTTTCAAACCTTTCTTTTTAGTTTCTCTAGTCAATCATGCATGCTCTTTATTCCAACCAGCGACCTTTCTCTAAATTCAGATTCAGTCCAGAATATCCTGCCAATAGTTCTTGATTCCTTTGCAATTAAAGAATAAGTGCTCCAAGGTTTCTTCCTGACCATAAAAAAATTCTTTATCTATTATAATACCAAACCTTGTTAATCTTTCTTTTGTGAGAAGTTTCCCCTTGAAACCATCAAGAAAATAAAAATGACTCTAGATTGTACATAGTTGTTGAAAAGTGCTTTCTTCAATTCCTCTTGTTCCTTATCCCCGTCTGAGAGATTTATACATGTTTTCTGTTTTGTACTCCCCTTTTTGAATCACCTTTGTCTAATTGTTTGTGTTTCCCACTAAATCTCTATTTTTCATAATCTTCTTCAGTATCCAAGAACAACTTGTGGTTACTTGCCACCTCATAATGTCATGCCCTTTCAGATAGTACGCATCAACCCAACGGACCCAAAGTTTATCTACTTTTTCTTGAAGATTCCATAATAGCTTCCCAATAGTAGCTTTATTTCATTCACAAGGATGTTACATTGAGACCTCTAGAAGCTTTAGGATCACAAATCTTTTCCCATGCTATCAGAGCTTTCCTACAAAACTTCTCAACTGCACTCCACAGATAGCTCATACACGCAAGTTCAATTTATTTTATCATCTTTTGGGGAAGAGGAAAAATGTTCAGCCAATATATAGTGAAAACAAATAAAATACTCCTAATCAATTAGACTCTCCCTGCATAACTTAATAATTCTGAAGTCCTGTGTTTAATCTTTGCTACTATTTTATTCACCAGTGGTCTGCATTGGTGAATTGTAAGCATTCAGCTTGATAACAAAACTCCCAAGTATTTGAGAAGAGTGCATAAGTAGTGAAACCAGTTGCTGCAATAATAGCATGTTGAACTATTTCTTGAGTTCCTCCAAAGTACGGTTTACAATTTTCCAAATGCACTTTCAAGCCGGCTGCCTTTGAGAAATATCTGAATGCTGTCATTATAATCTTCATCGAAATTTCATCACCCCTTGCAAACAAAATTAAATCATCAACGAAAGAAATGTTGATGATTTGAAGTTTCTCACATCGAGGATGGAAGTTGAAATTCGCACTACTACAAAATACACCTTCGATAACATAATATTACTACGGTTATACCTTCCACCGTTGTAATATCACAAACTGGAAGCGCCTAATGCTTATTTATTTTTTGAAAATTATTTAATCACGGTTGATATAAACAACCGTGGTAATAAAGTGAGTGGTACAAGGTTCAAATCCTTGCAACTATATTTTTTTTCCCATTTTTCCTATTACAAAAAGTGTGTTACTTAATTTCATAAATAAATAAAAAATTGAAAATTATTTAATCATGGTTTTAATATTCAACCATTTTAATATGATATGTACAACTTTTGCTCTTCCCAAAAGAGAGAAACGACTATAATGATGATTGAATTTTTTCTTCATTTCTCAAGACGGTCATAAGTCATTTAAGAATATCAACCATTAGAAGTAATCATTGCAAGGATTAAATCAATCAGATGTTTCATCTTCAACGTCTTCTATAAATGCTCAGTTTTATATAATAAATTTTTACTTCTTCTTAACTTCATATAACAACATGA